CCACTAAGACTCCAAGATCCCTGTCACAGTTTCACCCAGTCTATATATGTGTCCTTTTGGTTTTACTTGCCTAAGTGTAGGACTTTACTGATTGTTCAACAACTCTTTAACTCCCCCTTACAGAAAAGTCGAAATGCGAGGACTTCTGTCTCGAAGACGGCTCGGAGGCCTTGTGCCATTTTACTTTGCTGCAAGAAGACTCGAAAATGGGAGCAGACGACGTCTTCCTCAATGGGAATAAACAGGAGGAAGAGGAGGAGGAGAGAAGGGAGGACGGGCCCTCCCTGTATTTCAGCCAATCAGTAGAAACCAGGTAAAAGTCTGCGCAGGATTCTCTTGTCATCCAGGTCTGGTTGTCCCAAAGGTTTTTTGTTTTTCTTTCAAGAGGCAACTGGACTTTCTTTTTTGTTCTTTTGAAGACATTTTTGCTTCTCATCCAAGAAGCTTCTTCAGCTCTGGGTGGATGGTGGGGAAGGGAAGGATTTATATTCCTTGCAGACAGCTGGTCATTTGCATCCTTTTGGAGAGCCGTTGAGGCCACCTGGACGTTTATCTGTGTCCTTCAGGATCACCCGAGTGGCACAAATGGATGTGGAGCCTTCTTGGACCTGTTGAAAGATACAACACAGTCCTTTCCATGATTCCAAGAAGGCTCCACATCCATTTGCAACTACTCGGGGAACCCTGAGATAGACCTCCAAGTGGCCTCAACGACTTAACTGGAGAGCATGAGTGATGCTTCTTGGCTATGGATGTGTCCCATTGGAGACTATGGTTTAGGATACACCCAGCGGGTGGGGGGGAAACCAGGGTCAAGGGTGACAAGGAATGATGTGTCTCAGAGTCGGCTACACTTCCAAGTAGCACCGGCATGTTTACACCTAATAAATCCTCTTTAAGCTCTGAAAATCTGGCTAGAGATTCGTGATTTAAATGGGGGTAACTACCAGAGACCTGACCCCCTTTTCCCTTCCCAGTATTCCAGCCAAAGGACCGGTCATCGAGACCTCTGAAATCCTGCACGTGAACAAAGCCGACCGCTCCATGGGCTTTATCCCAAACTTTAACGGGAAGCCTTCCACGTGGAATTTCGAAGAAATCATTGACCTCGCGGTGCATCCTAAGGCAGCCAGGCTTGGTTCAGAGAGCATCGCGGCTGAGGTGCCAGGCCAGAAGTTCAGAGACGGCGTTCCGTTACCAGCAAGCCCAAAGCTGGCGTTTGAGGAGGACGGTGGCAGGAATCCCTTGACCAAACCCATTGAGGCGGCATCAGGTAAGGGGCATTTATCGCAGCCGCAAAGGTGTTTCTTCGGACCTGGCCTGTTTTGTGCACTAGGTGTCAACTCATAAAATATTTCTATGGTCTTCTTAGAGTTGCCAACAGAAAAAGGGTTGCAAGAAATAATTGGTTCCAAAATAGAACTTAAGCCTGAAAATGTTCTTACTAGAGATAATCAAAGGGGAATATAAGAAAGACATTTAATATATAACAATACATATACTAACAGCAGCTAGAATAACGTATGCCCCAAATTGGAAATTAGAGAGTAATCCCACAGATAATATGATTATAAAGAAAATTATGGATTGTGCAGAAATGAATAATCTTACAATGGAATTGCAGGAGAAGGAAGAAAAAGAATATTATATGGACTGGGAAAAATGGTACGTTTGGTTAGATAACAGGAATAAAAGATAACGCAAAATGTAAATATAAATGATGTGTGTGTATATATGTGTATATGTGTGTATGTGTGTGTACATGTATGTGTGTGTATACATTGTATGTATGTATGTATGTATGTATGTATGTATGTATGTATGTAAATGACAACAGAAAAGTCAATGCCACAACTTACTGCAATCTTTCATTATTCTCTTATTTAATGTTTTAATGTGTTGCTTTTATATCAAATCAATTTCTACAAATTCTCTCCCTTTTGAACAGAACTGTGAACACTACAACCCGGGAAGGTTCCTGAGGGCCACGCAAGGATGCGCAGGGCTCCTCCAGGCAGGCAGGAAGGCCTCGGTTTGGAAAAAAACTACTTGTCAACTCCACATTTCTCTCCCGCCACAGCCCCTCCCCTTGGCCGATCCGGCTTTGCCCCTTGAAGCGTCGCAAAGCAGGAAAGGCAGGGGGTTGTTTCGCTGTTGCTTTGTCCTCCCTCTTTAATGAGATTTTTGCTTTTTTTAAAAAAACAAAACGAAACAACCCATTTGTTCTCCTTTGGATGAATTGTTCCGTCCATTGCGGTTGGTCCTTTAATATTCCTCCCCGTTTTCGCCAGTAAACACGGCGGCTTGTACCAGAGACGTTAACAAGCTAGCATTTGCCCAGGATAACCCCCACATCTGCAAGGTAACGCGATTTAATCCGATGTATATTTAAAAAAAAAAAAAAACCCAAAACAGAGCCAATGTCATGCGTTCCCCCCCTCGCGCTTGTTGTTTCGGGCGGAGCGACGGTTACTTCGAATTTAACTTGAATATCTAAAAATATAGCACCTCACTCTAGAACAAGTCCTTTTTTGGGTCAGATCATTTCTCAGCTTCAAAACAAAATGACCACCAACCTCTTGATTGTCTCTACCAACACTTGAAAGCCAGCGCTTGTTCCGGATGGACGGGGGATTTTTCAACACTCAACAGGGCCCCCCCAAAGTCGGACAGCGCTCCATTCTGTTGCCTTACGCAGCTCTCTCTGGGGCCAGCTCCCTCTCTTCTCAGTGTGGCAAGGGGGGCTCAATGGAGACCCCTCCAGCGAAGCTTGGCTCACCAGCACAAGGTGGTGGGTGTGTAGACGAGCCCTGAGATCTGGGGTGTGTTTTTGTGCAGGGTGTAAGGAAGGAGACGAGTCCTACAGCTGCAGAACCACCCACCCCCCCAGACCACATGCTTTTAGGAGAGAGGGGGGCAGAACATCTTACCTTATTTATCTATTTTTATTCATCGACGTGTGTCCTAGTAGGTGGCCTTCAGTCACACCACGCTGTGGCTTTTTCAAGCTATCGCACACTGCAGCGTCCCTGCCCGGTTTGCCAAGCCGAGCGTCCCTCCTGCTCTGAAATTCGTAGCGGCCTCAAACAGGAGCTCTTGGCAGCCTTCCCCCACTCCCCTCCTCGGTCCTGTCGGGGGGGTTGGTGTCCCGAACTGCTAAACCACCCCCCCGCGGTTCGACGTTGAACCTCCCCCCTCCCTGTTAAGTGTTATATTTATGTGTGAACACAATAACCAGTATTAAACCCCGATTGAAGGTGCTCGTTCCTCTCTGAATTGCACTCCAGGTTTTTTCTCCTCTTCTAGCTTTAACTCACCGCTTGCCTCCAGCCGATGAAGCTGAGGCTGTGTGTTCAGCCCAGCAGCTCGATAGATAGAATTTCTTTGCCTAGCAAAAGAAGGAATGAAGCTTTCTGCAACGCCGTAGGAAAGAGAGCGGTCTTAGAAAGGGCCGCGTCCTGCTTCTCTCACCCCCTCCCCAGGCCCCCCCCCCCCACTTCCCAATCTCTTCCAAGAGCTTTTCTCTCGGAAACAACTGTGACCCCCCCCCGTTCCCGAAACCCCTTTCTTCGCTTGCAAAGCCAGCTCCTCGATCTCTTTTCAAGCCCAGATGTTCCCCGTGAAGGCATTTCTGGGGACGCACACACCTCCTCCATTAAATTACCCAAGCCAGCCTCGTCCCCACAGGCTTTCTTCCTCCCCCCCCCCCCCCCCCCCCCTCGCCAAGGTTTTAGAATGATTCCCCCCATAGAGCAGTGCCTTAGGTGGAACTAACATATACTATTTTTATACGACATCTCTCGGGATCCCAAAACAGAGACAATCGTCCGAACATGCATGCAATGATGGCGCTCCTATTTTTTTCTGCGCAAACTGAGACCCGTTGAATGCTTCGTTAGTTGTATGTAAATACGTACGCGCTGTTAATAAACTTTGCAATTGGAAGGGCTTTCTGGTGGCGAGTGGTTATTCAGAGGGGAAAAACGCCCCAAAATGTATTTGGCTTTCAAAAAAAACAACCCCAAATGAATGGAAGTATTATCACTGAATGTCTATGGAGATTTCTCAGTCATTTGGGTCTTGGTTGTCCCAAGGTGCTTTTTTTTCTTCTTCTAAAATCCATTTGTTCTTCAGGATTATAGACAGAAGAAAAAAGGAGGCGAGAAAAGAGGGGAAAAGAAAGCATGTGTGGTGACCCAAAGGGGCGTGTCACAAAGGCAACATAGTCAGATAATCAGTAGGAATCCCTTTATTAGCTCCAACTTTGCCCCCAATGTCCTGGTTACCTTCTGGCAGGAACAGCCTTTGGCTGCAGGGAGTCAAGTCCAAAATGTGGTCAACAAAAACTGTAACTATAAGTCCAATCAAGGTAAGATGAGATAATTAGTCCAGCAGGGCAGGAGCAAGAATTCCAGACATGAAGGCACGGCAATAATTCAACACAGTTGGGAAGACACCAGGAACACAGGATAACCAAAGACAACACAAGATAAACTCAAGTTTGTTCCCAGAAGCTGCCACATTCAGCCTGCATCTCTTTTAAACTCTCTTCCCAGATGTGGCTAATGAAGGGAATCAGGGCCCTTTCCTCCCCCGTAAGCCACGCAACCCACATTGCTCTCTTCTCCATTCCTCCCAGCATGCCCTAGGATGAAGAGGGGGTGGGCCTGGGTCTTACTCTGAATTCCCTCTCCCTTGTTCTACCTCTGCCCAGCCGGACTCTGCCCTTCCCCGGTTTCCTTCACAGCCAACGGAGCCACACTCCCACTCCCTGTCAGCTGTTTGTCTTCCTCCTCGGATTCAGACTCTGATAGGGGTGTGACAGCATGGTTTTAAAATCGAGGACATCCCAGTGAGGGTTTTGTGTGGTCAACCTCTCTGGAGGATGGAAGAACAGCAAATGTTTGTGTCTCAACCAGCTTCAAGTGATTTGACACCATCTGAATCTCCCGTTCTATATAGCAAAAGATAACTAGAAAACACCACGCCAAATCGAAATAAGCAGTAACTTCCTGTTTATTGGAGGAAAGGCCTTGGTACAAGAACAAGAATTGCAGTTACGTCACCCTTATCGTTGAACCTACCCGGGAAGCTCCTGTGCCGCATCTCAGGCTGAGAACGGTGCCCAAGTCGACAAAGGCCCGTTTGGGGGGTGAACCGAAGAAGCGATTAATCTGGCAACTTGCTTTTTTGCTTTCCAGCAGAGTTAAAAGTATTAAAATTGATGGCTAAATAAGGTTATTCTAAAGTCAGCAGTGGCCGTTCCTGGGAGTTTAAACACTGGTTAAAATAAGCTACCTTTGATGTGCCTGCTCTCTGCGTCGGAGGCAAGGAAAGAAGAAAGGGGGATTTTGCAATCTCTCGTGTGGGTTAATATGGATGCAAACCGAAGAAAAGCACCGAACCATTATCTGAACTAGCAAATTGTAGGGTGGAGTCAGATGGCCACTTGGATCAACAGCTAGTCCTTGCTTTACAACCAGAGTTGGGGGAATCAGACTTTTGCAGAACAAGGCAGTTATTAAATGCCCGGTTTTACGGTCTTTTTGGCCATGGCGTTTAAGCAAAACCACCACAGTCGTTAAGTGATCGTTGAGCGAGTCTTGACTTTGCTTGTCAGGAATCATCTGGGAAACATCAAAACGGTCCCTAAACGAATGGTTGTAAGTCAAGGATTACCTGGGTTTCTTTCAAGAAAGGTTGCTTTCTCTGAAAACTACATATTGGAAGAGCATCCTATGTTTGCTGCTTCAAGTGTCTCAGCGCGGACAAATTCAATATTTAGGCGTAGGATGGATATTTGGGTAAAAGGCACGGAAATCCTTGAAGCTCTCAACAACATTGTGTGTTTTTAAAAAATAGTGGTCGTGTTTACAAAAGTAATTTGGGGCCGAGCACCACTGAATTAAAAGGGGTCCTTGGACCACAACATCACAGCCGTAGGAGCCAAAAGTTGAATTAGCCAGTGAGAAGGCTGTTCCACCGATGCAGCGTTGTCTTCTCTATGGACCAGGAATGTTTTCAATGGATGTCCAAGAGAAGAGAGGTGCCTTTCCCCCCAAAAAAAGAAGGAGAAGGTGCCCACAAGGGGGCTGTAGCAAGCTAAGGGCTCTGCACATCAAGAGAACAAATGGGCACCTCTTTATCCAGTCTGGTTTTCTCCAGCCACCAGATCCTTGCAAGCCTCTCATATATTTTCTTATGGCTTTGCAAACGGGATGTACCCCAGGAAGGGAGATGAGGAATTGCTCCAAAAAAGCAGCCATGTGAATTCACCCTTGCTGAGCTGCTAGGCCCCTAAGCGGCAGGTGCGCAAAAGCCAGGAGCAGCGACTCTACGTTGGATGTGTAAGACGTAGCCTGCCCCTCTTCAGAGGGCACGAGAGCAGAGCTCACTACGGCAGTTAGTCAACCCTTTATTGGACATGACCTGCAGAGGGAATTGGGGAAAAGAGGAAGGGGTGGGTGGATGGGGAAGAGCCTTAACATCCTTTAGAAAGGAAAAAAGAGGGGTGGGCTTTGGGGAGGGGAGAAGCTACAATGCAAATGCCTACAGCCTGGCCACTTGCAAGCCGAGAGGGATCTCCATGCTGTTTCGCAGGAAAGAGCTGAGCGGTTCCTGCTGCTTGCCCTTCGCTTGGCCTTCCTCTCTTACAGCTTCTTGGCACAGTTGGGGCAGTAGACTTGCTCCAGGTGGAAGACGAACGGTTTGTTGGCCAAGGGGATGGAGCACTTCTTGCAGTTGAAGCAGTACTCGTGCCAGGAGTGGCCTTCGTGGCTCACCACGTTGGTGCCTTTTCCAAAGCCTGAAGAGAGAACATTGCACGGTTAGGGAGCCAAGGAGGAAGAGCAAGGAGGAACCTTCCCACCACGTGGTCCGTCTAGAACCCTTCAGCGGGTTCTCCGTGGCCTACCTGTAATGGGGTTCTTGCAACCGTTGCATTTCTTAGCCACGAAAGACTTGTAGCAATCCACGCAGTAGAACAGGTCTTCCACCGCAGTGAAGCGTTGTCCGCCCAGCTTCTTGGTGCAAGTGGCACACACAAAGCACTCGGCGTGGTAAGGCTGATCTTGGTAAGAGACTCCTCCGGAAGTGATGGCCTTAAAAAGCAACCAGACAGACAACAATCAGTGTGGAGTTTGCAGAGTGGAATAAATGTTACCATTGAGCCCAGAATTCACAATAAGAATATATCTGCTGAATGAAACTCCGTCCTGGTGACAGGAAGGGCATCCCGCCAGTAAACACTCAGCTCCATTCAGTTGCCCAGACTCCACCCCGCAAGGGATTTTGGGGTCATTAAAAGAAAATGATGGTGATTGATCCCAGAATTCCCCAGCCAGGCATGAATGATGAAGTTGGAAGGGACCGGAAGGATCACCTAGACCAGAGTTTCTCAACCTTGTCAACTTTAAGACTTGTGGACTTCAAGTCCCAGAATTCCCCAGCCAAACATGAATGATAGAGTTGGAATGGGCCAGAAGGATCACCTAGACCGGATTTCCTGAACCTTGGCAACTTTAAGACTTGTGGACTTCAAGTCCCAGAATTCCCCAGCCAGCATGGCTGGCTGAGGAATTCTGGAAGTCGAAGTCCACAAGTCTTAAAGTTGCCAAATTTGGAGTTCCGAATAACTAAGGGACTTTCAACTTCATATTCTCATATCTATCGATCAGAAACAGAGAGGAAGAAGTAATTGAGCACAAGGAAAATGCAGCGAAGATGCCCCAGACTTACATTCTTACACTTCACACAATTCTTGGCAAACTTTTGCTCGTGGCAGGAAACACAGTACATCTCATCTCCTTTGGGGAAGAAACTGGCGGTGCCAATCACTTGCTTGCACTGGCTGCAAAGGAAACATTCCTTGTGCCAGACGGTCTTCTTGTACTCCACGTTCTGATCACCTGGGAAGAGAGAACAAAATAAAACAAATACATAAATAAAAATAAAACGGAAGGTCCAAGATGCAAGATCTCCAGGGCTGTGAACAACAAAACCTGGAATTGCCACTAGGTGTCCACCAGACCACTGGTGATGTCCCTGGAGAAGGTCCATGATTTTAAGCACAGGGGACTTTCCCACTCCAGAAATTGGAGAGGGGTCGAGCTATTTGCCTGCTTTCTTACGCATCCAAAATCCTTCGCATTCTGAAAGTCCAAGTGAAGGAACACCAGGAGAAGGAACACCATGGACAGCATCAGAAAATCTCATCCCTGCTTAGGATTAGCAGCGACAGGGCCTCCATGGAGCTCTACCATATGACTTTTTCAGGATGCCCAGATTGGCTAACTTTTCAGGGATCTGGGTTCCCACATTGCGTTAAAGCAGGGAAGGCAACCTAGATCCGCTGAAGGACAGCACATCCTCATGGCTGTTCTCCAGATCTGGGTGAAGACAGGTCCCATTTGTGGATGGGGGAAATCGGGTGTTTTAAGGGGTGAAAATGGGCGCCTTGTGCATCTATTTTAAGGCCCCCTAAAACCCAACAGTGCAAAGAGGGGTGTCTTGTTTGATCCTATTTATTTGGGGGGCACATGTGGATGACTTTCTCCTGCAGTTGGTCTTATGAAAGGCTCAGCCTGTTAATAAGGTTTAATTCTTGGATGAGACCCTCCAGAAATTCCCAAGTCTGTATTATTTGGGGAGACCAACATTTGCCATTGCAAATGACAAAACTTTCCCAAGTGGAGGTGTTGAAGAATCAACCTCAACTCAAAGAGAGCTTACCCTTCCTAAGCCACAGCTGGCTGAATAAGCCACAGTGGGCAGGGTTCAGCCCAAAGAATTTCTATTAGACCTTCCCACGATGGCTGAACCAGCCCACCTCTCCCCAAGGTAGAGATTGCTCCGGGATCAAGGAAGACGAGCCCCCCTCCCCCATGGAGGAGACCGGCCCCTCCTGGCACCCTCACCTGCCACAATGGGCTTCTGGCAGCCTTTGCATTTAGGAGCATCCTCGTTGGTGGTGCATTTGTTACACCACACCTTGTTGTTCTCCTTCAGCATGAAGGGTTCATTCACCAGAGATGTGGAACACTTGAAGCAGCGGAAACAGTTGTCATGCCAGTAACGGTTCTTGAAGTGCAGCTCCTGAGAGAGCAAGAGAGAACATTTTGAAAGGGGTCTTTGTCCCAAGGGCAAAAGTGGGGGTCTACACCCCAAACCTTTTGGGTGTAGTCAATCCAGAGAGGAATCTGAGTGCAATCAATCCAGAGCAGAAATAAGATCTTCTGCACCAACAATGGTCCAAGATGGATAATGGAGCCATCACAGCTTCTTAATGAAAGGTTATTCCAATGGGTTAGGGTGCTGGGATCTCATGCTTTCTACCAGGTGCCCCAGGACTCCAGGAGACTGTCAGTAGGTGACAGAGTCACTCCATGATTCTGCCATGGTAGCCAGAGGTAGGCAAAAAAGAATGGACCTTCTGCACTCTTTTATTTTTAATACGTTCTCCCAGAGGTTGACCCCTTTGCTTATTTTAAGAGGGGTAGGATAGATTTTAAGGGACACAATGGGTGCGTTGAGCCTCTCACAGAAGCTTCTGGTCATGTATTTACCCTACGGAATCCTGAAAAATTCTCTGGAGTACAGTTTTGAGCTGAAGAAGGTTGAACACTTCTGATTGAGCTCAATGGGAACCCAACTTTTGTGCCTCCTTGGAAATATCATGGATCATTTTGGCCAGAGTCACATATCACCCATTGTAGAATTAAGGACTCTACGTTGGTAGTTATGGCCATACTTTATCATGCTGGTCTAATCCAGGTTTGTGGATAGATGGTTTTCAGCTTCCTAGTCTTAGATTTGGAGAGAGGGACAGGTGCAAGGTCATCCAGCAGACTTCAATACCTACAGGAGGACTCAAATCTGTGTCTCCCTTCACTAGCGTATCAAACCAGCTTTCACACAAAGCAGAACTAAACAAACCGTACAATTATAAGAATCCATTCCGATGAGCTTTATTATAATATCAAAAGAAGTCCCTTAGGTAACACACAAGGTCCATCGGCCAACTCAACAGTCCAAATCTCACTTGGGCTGCTCTCTTGTCAAGAAAATCACACCATTATCCAAAGGACCCCACCCAGCCTGTACTGATTTGAGGGGTTGACCATTGCAACTAGGGGCATTCCAGCTTTATCCCCTACCTTGGAATCAGCCCCAATGGGCTTCCGGCACTCGGCACAGGTGTTGGCGCAGAACTTCTCAAAGCACTTGACACAGCAGTGGCGTCCTTCCTTCTGCACATACTTCTTCCCGTGCAGTGCGGCGCGACAATAGTGGCAGTCAAAGCGCTCGGACATGGTGCCCACGGTGTAGCTGCTGGGACCTGCAGGGAGGCAGAAGACAACATGGCAGAGTTGAGGGCCGTGGGATGCCTTGGGCACCCCCAGTGGGGCATTATTCGAGACAAGACCACGGTTGGCCCTGTTCTCACAAAGGGGCTGGTGCCAATCGGAAAACGGGGCCCAACCAAACCTGGCAAGGAAGGGCTGAAGGTGAGGTTGGGCCCCAAAGAGTCGTGGGAGATGCCACCTTCCCGTAGACTCTGTGGACTATCTTCCCCCTTTCCATGTCTTCAGTAGAGATGAAGGTCCTTCACAAGTCCAGCACTTCAGCTTGTTGGCCATTTCACTTCCCAACCCCTGACTCCGCCCCACCCCACAGCCACATGGGTTAAAACCTTCATTCTATCTATCGATCGATCGATCTATCACAGATGGTATATCTTTTGATTCGGGAATGTCTAAATCAGGGATGTCCAACCTTGACAACTTTAAGACTTGTGGACTTCAACTTCCAGAATTCCTCAGCCAGCTGGCTGAGGAATTCTGGGAATTGAAGTCCACCAGTCTTAAAGTTGCCAAGGTTGGACACCCCTGGTCTAAATGTTAATGAAACTGCTTCTGGCGGGGTTCTTTGCACAAGCCCAGCCTTGTATTTCCTCATCATGTACCCCACTGTTGCTTGTCATGCTGACTACGTTCGCAATGGACAACAGCAGACACCACAGAACCTCCTTGCGTGGTTGTATCCGCATGTTGACACTCTCCTCGTGACAAGCTTCTCTGAGTATGACAGGATTAGCTCAGCATGACAAGGTGAAGATAGTGGGACAGTGGGTTTCTTTCTTTTTTTTGCTCATGGAAGATTCATTGACATCTGGGTTGAAGACCAACCTGGAAGGTAGCCAGGTCCTATCTAGTGAACTGTGCCAGGTTGTGACTGGGAGCTGTGAAGAGGTATAAGAGGAAGTGGTCCAGAATCCCCATTGGATGGGATTCTGTCTACTGCACTGTGTCTACTACATTGTGTAGCAGACACAATGAAGTGCACACAATGGGGATTCTACTACATTGTGTAGCAGACACAATGTAGTGCACACAATGGGGATTCTACTACATTGTGTCTACTGCATTGTGACTGCTACAACACTTTGCACTATAAATTATAGTACTAACAGGAGAAAATGAGACAATATTTTTTTGCATCACCAGGGAGCGCTAAAAAAAATCTCCCCGCTCCTTGTCTTCTCCTGATGCTCAACAAAGCCACATCCACAAGTCAGCAAAGCAAGGAGGTTTCATCTAATTGTTCCTGACTACTAGAACAGAGCAAAACTGGCTCTGCCTCAACACACCCACATCCGATAAAAGGTCCCAACTGCTCTTAACCACATCCTTCTTCTCTGGTCATAAGGACCGGAAACTTGATAAGGCTGCTGCTTATCATAGATAGATTTTAAGAAAGGGGAAGTAGAAGAATAAAAGCCTGACAGATGAAGAAGAAGAAAAAAAAGGAGGAGGAGGAGGAGGAGGAGGAGGAGGAGGAGGAGGAGGAGAAAAAAGTCCTTGGACGTTTTGTGTTATTGGCGAGCACAGAGTTGGGCTGAGCTATTCCTGCGGTCTTCCGTGAAAACCATAAACACCTTGAAAGAATAAAGGGGAAAAGAAGAATGTGGCTGGCTGGAAAACGTGGCAAGTTTCAGCCTCAGGTTGAGGAAGCCTACTGAATGCTCCCCCCAAACTCAACCGGTTCTGAAAAGTTGGGGATCTCTGAATTTAAGAGCATAGCTGCAAATGTCCTGTAGATGTGCTTCCCAAGAGTCCACCTTCCCAAGGTGCCAAACAGCTTCTGATCCCAAGAAATGATGGAATGACCACAGCATCTGGCTGGAGATGGGGGTCTAGAAGGACCCAGTCCTCCCTCCTCTTCATCAGGCCCAAGCTTCCAACCATGTTCTTATCAACTCAGTTGGCCATCCATCACCACCCTCACCTCGTCGGTCAAATAAGGAACCACGGAAACACAAGAGCCATCGTGGCTCCTTCTTTCCCAAAGTGCCATTTGCCCTGAGCTGGATCATTTGGGACCAATTTATGCCCTTTCTTAAAAGCAAGGCTAGATCTAGAACTCCCGATGGGGCTCACAGGTCAACAACCACCGTTCCTGTAACCATTCACATGGGATGGTCATTGGGTCACTCTGGAACAAGACAGAGACACGCACAGCAAGACCAGGGAAGGCGAAGAAAACCAAGCTAGCAAACCTAGCCAAGGGTGTTAACTGCCAACTCATTCTTTCCCTCCGGCAGTCTAAAAATAGGGCAATTACCCCATTGTTTTCTTGACTCATGTGCCCTTTAACTGGGTGACTTGGAATTTGGCCTTGCTATATATAAAGGGTGTTGTATCATAGCAACAGGGGGACAGCCCACTCTCTTCTCCACAGATGGGAAGGGCAGGGCTGATAAGGAGAGCACCGCACTGCAGGATGTGCCCCACAAAAGGATCCCTTCCAAGTTTTAGGGCTGGGGGAGAAGACACCACGAAGGGAGGTGAACTTTGTGGTCCTCCAACATGGAGGAGGAGGAATGAATGGGAGTGTGGTTCTTTTTTAAAAACAACATAAATAAATTCTGGAAAGCAATCAGAGCCGAGTTCACACGTTACACCAATTAAGCGGTGGTTTTGTGAACGGTGGTTTATTGAGTTGGCTGCACTGGGGGCAAGTTTGCTGTGTGGGTTAAGCCTGGTGGAACATCTAAGCCAAGTGGAAGTAGACCACCAAGCAACCATCCTATGAAGATCTTTATCATGGGAATTGAGCTTCTCACAGGGGTTTTCAAGGAGGCTGTTTCTGCTGGAATGGATGTTTTTTTTTTAATGGTGCCCGTTGAGATTACGCGTTTTTCTTGTCTAATATTTTAGCTGTGTTTCTAAGCCATGGGATTTTTTAAAAAAGGAGGTTTTAATTGTCTTAGCCATGCCTCTACAAGTTTGGAAGAGCATAAGATGTGTGCATGAGACATTTGGGGAGAAAAACTGCAGACCTGAACAGACCCCCACACTAGATTTACAGTCTTTCTTTGAGTCTTGAGGTATGGCTGAGAAAAAGGGAAAGCCCTTTCCAAGAGGAAAGAGAGAGAAAGAAAGAAGGAAAGAAAGAAAGAAAGAAGAAAGAGAAAGAGAGATGGAGAAGGAAGGAAGGAAGGAAGGAAGGAAGGAAGGAAGGAAGGAAGGAAGGAAGGAAGGAAGGAAGGAAGGAAGGAAGGAAGGAAGTGCATGGCAACCTCAGAGAACAAAATATATTCTTTTCTGAGTATCTAAAGATGCATTATTAATCCATGTGAGCAGAAGAAGGGATGAAGCAATGAATGAGATGCTCACTACATACAGCCCAGGGAGCAAAAAAAAATAAAAATCCAACTATTCATTATTCACTATTAATGTTCACGTTAAAACAAGTTTCTAGCCTACAGGATTAAGAAGTTTGGTTTGGGGGTGATTAAGGGGGAAGGTGGGTGGCCCTGCAGAAAAGTTAGAGCCAGCAAGGCCAGCAGAGGGGGGATCAATACTCAAATCAATGAATGAAAAGATGCCCATAATTGGGGCCAGGTGCAGAATGCAGAGTCTCCTTGCACAAAACCCTGAAATCAAGTTAAACCCATGTTTGTGGCCGTCATAGACCAGCATAAACTGGGGCAGGAACACATTGGTTAAAGGCAGGCACTGAAGCATAAAACGTACAGAGGGCTATCAACACGATTTGGAAGATCTATCAAATGGGGGGGGGGTCAAATAAGAGCAACCAGAAAAACCATCCCTTGCTAGCGGGAAAATGCTTCAGGATAGGAGCATTTGCTGTGCCTCCGTGCTGCTGGTTGGCTGGTCGTTCAACATCTTGGCCATTCAGGTGTAGCGTTTTACCTGCAATCCCATTTGAAAATCCAAAATAAAACATTGTGCAGGAGGCATCTAACCCCAGACTGTGCTGTGTCATGTCGCACACACTCCGGTTTTCCATTTTAATTCCACCCCTCGAAGACCTTTTCTCTTGCAATCTGGCAGAGAAAGTGTGGGGCCTGTTTTCAGAAAGGGGGCCAGCCAGAGAGCAACTAACCAAGGTGGAAATGAATCCAAACCCTGAACAACAGACCTTCTGGGATTTTCCGCACCCTGCAACCATGGTTAAAGAATTGGCTTTGATCGGCCTGAATCGGGGCTTTTTTGTCTCTGAGCTCCCATTGACCTAACCAGGTAGAATAAAACGGCTGAAGGAAACAAGCCAGGATCAAGCCAGCTTTATAGCTCATCCGTCTGACTGACTGATTCTGTCTTAGCTGGGTGCCCCGTCTAAGACTGGAGGTCTCCAGGGGTCAGGGGTTGAATTTCATTCAAGCAAAGCTGCACAAGATTTAAAAAAAACTGCTTCTTCCAAAATCCTCCATCGTCAGGCTTGTTTTTCTTATTTTTAAGAGCGGTATAGAAGTATTTTAGTTTTTGGTTTGCAAAAAGCAAAGAAGGATCACAACGTAGGCTAAGCATGCCTGCATTCAAACTCCAAAAAAATAAAAATAAAAAATCGGTGGAGAATCCTTTTCAGCAGCCTTAAGAGCTTCCTGCAACTTTCTGTAAACCCCCCTCCCGAATCCAGGATGAGGGACATTCGGATCCAGGAGGGCTGGCCACTGAAGCAAATGTGCCCCCAGAGGTGACTTAAGCAGCTGTGGTGGCATTATCTATTCCCACCATGCCGCACAGGTTCTGGTGCCCCCCCCCCCCCCCCCCGTTACCTGAGTGCCGGTGGTAAGCCATGCTGGTGGAAGGGTGAATCGGACTTGTGGCCGGACTGGATCGAGAGAAGGGAGCTGTTGAACGACCTCCCACTCAGATCACCGGCATTTACTGAAGAGAGGCTATTAATACGGGGGGCCAGGGCTTCCCACAGATGTCCACACCCCCTCGCCCTGGCCTGTGGACCTCGTCCCACTCAAAACATCTTACCATTTTAGGAGATCTCGAGGGAGAAGAATAGAGCCGATGGAATGAAGTGCCTGCTACATATAAATACCTGCCGACTTCAGGCTCCAAAACTCTTTAAATGCCTGAAGGAACCTGAGACGCCAGAATCGGCTGCAAAGACTGGCTGGGCTCAGCATCTTGAAGAGGGATGGCTACACACCACATAATAAAAGATTAGTGATGGGGGGGTGGGGGCTGACAGACCACTGGCCCCGCGGCTGGGCAGGCGTGTGCCATGTGGACCAGGAGGGAAACTGGGGGGGGAGGGCTCCTCAAAGCATGGGCTCGGGGCCCAAGACACACACACACACACACACAAATGTTCACGTTGAGATGTCTAATCTGACTTTGAAGACAATCGGCCCTTGTTTCGTTTTAGTTGGTTCTAAAGGTAAAGGAGATGAATTCACCCAAGAGTTTTGAAGGAGCCCAGTGAAAACAGGGCGGTGGCTCTGATAGATGAGACAGATAACAGATAAGAAGACGGAGAGATAGATGATGGATGATGATAGATAGGTAAGTAGGTAGATAGATATAGATAGACATAGAGATGATAAATAGATAATAGAGAGAGAAATGATATAGATCTATAGAGGTGATAAATAGATAATGACAGATAGATAAATATAGAGATGATAAATAGATAATAGACGATATAGAGATGAGAGATACAAATGATAAATAGAGAGATAGAGGGAGATGATATAGATATAGATATGATAAGTAGATAATGATAGAGAGAGATGATATAGAGATGATAGATATAGATAAATAGATAATGATAGATATAGAGATGATAGATGATACAGATAGATATAGAGATGATAGATGATACAGATAGATATAGAGATGATAAATAGATAATGATATAAATAGAGATGATAGAGATGATAAATGATAGATGATAGATAGATGATGAGAGAGAGAGAGAAAGAGGCAGGCAGGCAGGCAGGCAGACATAGATACATATCACAAGATTAACTGGCAACAAGGTAGAATACAAACTAATCATCCAGACCCCATAAACTCAAGGCGACAACATCTGAAGACATTCGGGCCCCAACTGCTGAACACAGGCTTTAAAGTTCACCTACTGTTAGTCATCACTGAGATGATAGCCCTCCACAAAATTTGCTGTGACCTCTGAAATTGCCCCTGATACACATGGGTTTCCAATTGGCCATTGACCAACGTCTTGAAGAGGGTCTCTCAAGGCATCCAGGCCATTCTTGGTCCTTGCCCAGAATGGAAGGGACACCCACATGAACTCATGCTCCAGGGTCAAAGGGGGTTTGCAACATGACGCATAGAAAGCAGGCGGAGCTTAGAAGCACCATCTAGAGTTTGGGGGGCGTTCCCTGCAGACTTCTTGTCGGGGAGCCGCTCTTCCAGTCTTTGAAAACTCTTCCCAAGGTGAGTCCTGGAGAGGTCCTCCAGACCGTCCCATTTTGCATGGCTTCATTGCAGAACAACAGTTGGAAGGGACCTTGGAGGTCTTCTAGTCCAACCCCTGCTCAAGAAGGAGACCCTATCCCAAGGGCCTTCAAACTTGGCAAGTTGAAGATTTGTGGACATCAACTCCCAGAATTCCTGAGATAACCTGACTGGAGGAGGGATTCTGGGAGTTGAAGTCTACAAGCCTTAAAGCTGTCAAGTTTGAAGGCCCTTGCCCTATACCATTCTGTACAAATGGCCGTCCAATTTTGGGGGGGAAATCTCCAGTGTTGGAGCATCCACAACTTCTGGTGGCAAGTTGTTCCACTGAGTAACTGTTCTCACTGTCTGGAAATTTCTCCTTAATTCAAGATTGCTTCTCTCCTTGGTTAGTTTCCACCTGTTCCTTCTTCTCTTGCTTCTTCTGGTGCTTTGGAGCAGGGGTCTCCAACCTTGGCAACTTTAAGCCTGGAGGACTTCAACTCCCAGAATTCCCTAGCCAGAGCTTTGCTGGCTGGGGAATTCTGGGAGTTGAAGTCCTCCAGGCTTAGTTGCCAAGGTTGGAGACCCCTGCTTGGGACAATAGCTTGACTCCCTCTTCTTTGGGGCAGCCCCTCAAATATTGGAACCCTGCTATCATGTCACCCCTGGCCTTCTCTTCGTTAGACAAGTCCCTCACACATTGCTTCACCTCGTCAAGGTCCTGGGAGTTTTCCTAACCGCTGCCTTCTCTAAACCCCTCTCGCTCTAAAAGGGGAAGGATGAGTAGGACAAGGTCTTCTCACATTTCCCCATCCCTTGGCATCAGAACATGAAAGCAGCATGGATGAACCATTAGTCACTCTCAGCAAACGGAGAAACTCTGCAGGGGTAAAGAGAGAATGGAAAGGGCATCGTATCCAAACGTTGGAGTAGGCAACCTACGAGTGCCTTCTTTGACGGTGCCAAAGCGGGTAAGGCCTGGGTGCTATGATGGTTTAATTTGGCAAGAAAGGCAGGGTCAAAGATATCGGGCCTGGTGCTGAACGGGAAAGAAACCTACCCACCCACCCACCCCCAAGAGAAATGCGGATGAAATCTAAAAGAGAAGATGGCTTCCAGGGGGTAACAAGCATGAAGAACGAGAGGAGGCAGAGTGAAAGTACTGGAGCATTTCTTTACACAGGAGTTGTTGCATTTGGCTCCTTCCTTCTCAACGGTTTGCTCTCCTTGCTTTGGAAAGTGTCCCAGGTTTGACCCAGATTAGAACTGGGAGGAGAGAGAGAGAAGATGAAAAGGTCTGCAGTGCTACGGTGCCAGGCCAAGAGCTGACTGATGGTCCCCTGACTTCCCTCGGCCAGGCAGCTCTTAGCAACCCAGCAGTGACGTTTCATTGCAACAACAGGTGAGGCCTTAGCAGAAGCCAAGGGGAAGAGCAAATATTTATGGAGCAGGACGGCGAGTAAAACCAAGCGTAAAACAAACCAAACCAGGATGTCTCTGGTGGATAAGAGTTTAACAAACGCCAGCTGGGAACAAAGAGCTCGGGTTTTTCTCCATTCTTAAATCCTTCAATCAGATCTGAACTTCCTCCTGGGAGAGGCCTTATCCTCTTGGCCTCAGCTGCCCCTCGAGATGCCGTCCATGGAAGGAGACCAACATTAAAGAAGAGGATTCATGAGACTGTCATCACATGAATGGGATCACCTGATCCAGATCAGCTCTGACCGCTGTTCAGGGCTGCTCCATAAATGGTGAATGATCTTCTCCAAGACAACGTCCTTGGCTATTGTCTTGGCACCAAACGCCACCCAATAAAAAAAAACACCATTAAACAATGACCAACCTGGGCAACGAGGATTGGAAAGATGCAAAAGGGAATATGTGAAAAGTTGGCCTTTGTGGGACACAACACGGCCTGTAGGTGCAAACAAGCTCACGATTGTGATACAGAAAATAGACACCCAACTGGTTTTTTGTCCTTGGGAGCAAAAAACGAAACAAAACCAAGCTTAAAAATAGTGTGGAAAGCGACTGTTTCTGCTTGGAAGGCTAGGAGGAATGTCCAGCCAAGGGGCTGCCCTACATCTGGGCAGATCAATTTACAGCATTCTGGAATTCTCAGGGGGTGAATTGGCCAGATGTTCGCTTTGGGAAAGTTGAAGCCAACTGCATGGAAGTTTTAAAAAGCCCAAGAAGATCAAGAAGAACCACAGTACTGCCGTGGCTGGACTAGAAATCCATGTTCAACTCCATTTCCAGCCATTGGATGACCCTCTCATCTCAACCTACTTCGCCACATTGTTAGGAACGTCAATCAAATGATCAATCAGAATAGAGCTGGGAGGGACCTTGGAGTCTATCTAGTCCAACCTCTTGGCTCAAGTATTTGAGACAAGTGGCTGTCCAATCTCTCCTTAAAAACCTCCAGTGATGGAGCAGCCACAACTTCTGGAGGCAACTTCTGCTCCACTGGTTAATTGTCCTCCCTCTTAGGAAGTTTCTCCTTAATTCCAGGTTGCTTCTCTCCTTGATTAGTTTCCACCTGTTGCTTCTTGTCCTGCCTTCAGGTGCTTTGGAAAATAGGCTGACCCCCTCTTCCTTGTGGCAGCCCCCCCAAATACTGGAAGACTGCTCTCATGTCACCCCCTAGTCCTTCCTTTCCTCTAACTAGCCAACCCCAGTTTCTGCAACTCTTCTTCCTATGTTTCAGTCTCCAGGCCTTTAATCCCCTTAGTTGCTCTTCTCTGCACTTTTTCCAAAGGCTCAACAATTCTCAACAAAAGCTCAACTGGCGGAGGAAGTGATGGGAGCTGTTGGAGAAAAGGAGAGATAGAAATCTGGATCGTGATTTGATGGCAGTGATGGGACGGTCCCAAATCAGCGTCCTTATCCACCTGTCATTTCTCTACGAAAAGAACAAAGCTTTCCAAAGACTCATGGAGTGGAATCTATTGGAAAGGATTATCTGCAAAGGTTATCCTGCAAAGACTCCGGATGAAGTCTGCTATCTTTGGCACGGAGACAGGCCAAGACTAAAATTAGTCTTCAGCCCTTGGTCCGTCGCCCACCCTGTACCCCTCCACGAGAACATGCCAAACACAAAAAAGGCATTCTCACTCAAAGGAGGACCTAATCCCTCAGCAACCCTGCCAGCACAAGGGTTTAATTTCCATGGTGTTGAGAAGACAACTCAACACACACAGGAGGCGGCAACCAGATCGAGTGTCTGGGGACTGTTTCTCTAACAAGCAGGACCCCACTCCCCCCAAAACCACTTGTGATGAGGAAAGATGGGATCGGAGGACCCAAAGTTAATTAATAGTTGTTCCCTTGAGCTGCTGAATGGTTCATCTTGAGAACGTTCACCCGTCTGTTGAGGTTTGGAGGTGGAAACAGAAGGCTTGAAATTGACACACACAGACACCTAAACTTAAATGTGAGGGCAAACTGGGACTCAGAGGGAAAGTTTGAAGGGAAAGATATTTGATATCCAATGGATTCAAC